AACTATTGAGATTTGGATCACTTTGACAGGCCCACGGTAGATAGAAAACTTGGGTTGCCTGTTGAGCCATAATATAGACATCGGGAACATCCAAATGGGTGCTTTGTTTGATTTCCACTAGCCCGAAGTATTCATGAGTCCTTCTAGTCTCCTTCGGCTGGAACCAATAATATTTGAAGACTACAACGTTTGGTGGGTTTGCACCGTAGAATTGAAGTTCATAAATTGCTTCAACTCTTCCATAATACTCGGTATCTCCTTCGCCGATAGCAGAGACACAACAATTTGTAGACTTTCGATCGGCCATAGATAGCTCTTTGCCATAGGTACAAAAGTGATACCCGTTGATGTCGTATTTGTCAAATGAACGGACCTTAAAGTCAAAACCATTAGCGACTTGTCTCAGTTCGGCGTCCATTAACTCTGAATTAGCCTACAAGTTTAATTCGAAAGGGATTTTTGCATTAGCCACAAATTAGACGAAGAAATGAAATTGTCTAATGGAAATTACCGTCTGTTTGAAGCAAGAGATAAAACCTTTGAATACCGGCTGGTGCGAGATCCCCTTTGAATAGGCTGAGGTTGGATCCACCCTTTTTAGGTTCGTCAGCATTGTACCGAGGCTTTGGATTATGCAAATGACGATTTTTGGCTTCGTAGCGTGTTGTCACGAAGTTTGTCGCCTCCTCAGTAATTAATGCCGCAGCCATCGATGCTTTAATTCTACGTTTATTTTTTTACATTTTTCTCATAGCGTATTGTGCATCCTCTTAGTGGTGTAGCACCAACGGTTTTGCACGCCCCCCCCAATCTTGCCTCGGTTGGGAGATGCATTCTCTCGGAGGATTTTGTTTGACTGGTACAGGTTTGCAGGTAGTACATGGCCTTTGGGTAGAAAACGTCCAAATACTGTCATCATTGTGTCGTAGCATTCTCTGCCCAAGTTGAATTGAGACTCCAGAGCCATTATTTGTGAGATGGCATACAGCTGACAAAGCTCAGTGTGCTCATGGAGAGGACATTTTGAAGACTCCAACATTTCATTGAAGGCCTTTGTAGATTCCTCCATGTCATCGTCTGAGTCTCGAGCATCATCAAAGTCTTGCACCATGTCTTGCATCACGGTACCATGCTCCTCGGTGCGACGACGAAGCACCTCAGCTCTGGCACGTCGGGCAGACTCGCCATGAAATGTCCACATCATATAATCTGGCGTAAAACCCCACTTCTGCAGGTGTTTGCCCATTTCATCCTCTGTCCTCTTGTGCCAATTGTTGCACCCGGCACAAGGGCACCATGTTGTCCTCTGGCCATTTTCAAATGCGGCTCTCAGAAACCTCTTGGTTTTTGTTAACCATTCAATGGTCATGTCTTTCTGACTAGGGTGACCGGTGTATATCCACGCACAGTCAGTCATCTTGCCTAGCTACTGGACACATAAGAAATATATATATATATATATATATATATATATATATATATATATATATATATATATACATACATACATACATACATAAACACTATTCTGATCACGGGATCAAAATAATGTTCTGATCACAATATGAACTTCCCGAGTAACCCGCCTGACCTTCCCCGAGTACTAGGTTGAACTTCAGCTAAAATGTGTCCAAATGAGGCTTGCGATATACCGTTGGAAAGCCATGGACACCAATATCATGAATCAAGTTAAATTTTTGGCAAAATGTAAGCAGTTTAAGAGCAGTTTTGAAAACCGTTTTTTCTTCATACAAAAAACGTGAATCATATTTTCGATCGCATTTTTAAACCGTTTATTAGAATGAGGTAAATAATATGGCGTTGGAAAGCTGCTGCAAAACCGCTCCTTCGACATGTTGAAAGTTTTCTCTAATTCCCTATGGATAACTAGTAATTTGAAAAATCGTAAAATTTCGTAAACCGAACAGCCGAGTTCGTATTTTCAATGTAATTTCTAAACGAGTAATCCAATTGAGGAAAATAATATGGCGTTGGAAAGCTTGTGAAAATGCGCTGCTTTTTCATGTTAAAAGTTTTTTCTAACTTGGAACGGTTTAGAAATAATTCAGAAAATGGTACAAGTGTTACCGAGTTCGTATTTTCGAGCTAATTTTCTAACCGTACGTCCAAATGCAACAAATGATACGGCGTTGGAAAGCCTGAGGAAATGCGAAACTTTTTCGTATATATTGTTTCTCCCATTTCCTTATGGTTTTAAGTCAAATTTAAAAATGGCTAAAAACGTATTTTTTGCATAATTTCTACAAACTTTATCGGAATGGGGCAAATAATATACCGCTGAAAAGCTATGGAAAATTCGAAAGTTTTTCATGTTGATGGTTTTCTCTGATTCCTAGCCTATTTTAAGTAATTGCGAAAATGGCGAGATCATTCATTCTGTCTTTATCGCGAAACTGATTCTTCGAAAATGCACCGCGTGAAGAACCTGAACTTCTCGGCACGTGTACTTGAACTTCACTCTGTTTTTCAGGTGCTTTTTTGGCTCGCAGCTCTCCACCCACTCACCGGAATTGAGCAAGTGATATACCGATGGAAAGTTGTTGTAAACACGCGACTTTCCCGTGTTGATCATTTTTTCATACTTGCGACGGTTTTAAAGTTTTTCATCCGAAATTCATTCAGGGTAGTAATTGAACTTCTTGCTATTTTCATGTTAAACTTCTTGCAGTTTTCACTCTGACGTATTTTTAATAACGAGAAAAATCTGAGTTTTTTATAATCATTGAACTTCTCCATCTTTTTAATATGGTCTTCTTGGTTTTATTTCTTAATCATTTTTTAAGAATAAAAATATTTTAAGACACCAAAATAACATTTGTGTGTGTGTGTTTTGCATTGGTTTACACATCAAACCGCGTCATCTTTAGAAATTGAACTTCTCCTTTTCTTTTTATTTTCTTTCAACATTGTTTAGCACGTCGAACCACGTCATCTTTAGAAATTGAACTTCTCATTTATTTTTGTTTTCTTTCAACATTGGGTTGCACGTCGAAGCGCTTCATCTTTAGAAATTGAACTTCTCATTTTCTTTTTTTTTCTTTCAACATTGGTTTACACGTTGAACCGCGTCATCTTTAGAGATTGAACTTCTTCCTTTTTGTTTTCTTGCATGCTTTACTTTGCATGTTCAAATTTATTTTGAACTTGCTGAGATAACACACTTGACCTTCTTGAACACAAAATTTTGACCTTCGCAAAACATAAATTAAAGCCAAACTTTTGACCTATAGAGCATGTATAATTTTCTCCACTTTTTCAAGAATAAGCGCTGAATCGCCCCGGTAGTTCGATTTGAACTTCTGCTGCACATGAATAAGCTGTTGTAAACACGCAGCTTTTCCATGTTGATCACTTTTTCATACTCGCGACGGTTTTAAAAGTTTTTTGTCTGAAATTCATTCAGTGTAGTAGTTGAACTTCCTGCTGTTTTCACGTTCAACTTCTGTGACGTATTTTCATTTGTAATTTTCTCACACCGTGTAGTACGTGAAAATGATATACCGATGAAAAGCTGTTGAAAACACGCAACTTTTTCGTGTTGATCAATTTTTCATACTCGTGATGGTTTAGAAAGAATTTTTTGAATGCGTAAAATGTGGTTTTAACGGTATACATAAAACTTTTAAACCATTCATCGGAATATAGCATATAATATACCGTCGGAAAGCTTATGAATTGGAGCAACTTTTTCATGTAGACAGACGTTACAAATTTTTGTCGTTTGAGAGCAGTTTTAGAAATGGCAAAAACAACGTTGTTTTTTACCTGTTTTTACATGTAATTGAAGGTCGGACATATCACACTAGAGATCTTGAACTTCACCGGAAGGAGGACATGAACTTCTTGCATCAAACCTTTTAATCTTTTTGTTTTCTATTCTTATATTCCTATTTGAAATGCATTTCATGTAGTTGTTGAACTCCCCGCTGTTTTCATCTTGAACTTCTGTTATGTATTTTTGTTCAACCTCTCTCACAAGCATTTTTGAACTTTTTCGGGCCGAGCAATTGAGCTTCTAGCAATAAAAATTTTAGAAATGTGAAAATTGGAGGATTTTTAGAAACATCGAACTTCTTCGCTATTTAATATTGAATTTATTTGTTTTATTCTTTATTAACTAGAAAAATCCATTTTTTCAAATAAATATCAAACTACTCCGCTTTTGTTCAATTGAACTTCTTGGTTTTATTCTCTAGTAACATGAAAACGCAAGTGTTTTTATATACAACTAGTTGACCCGTTGCGCCAAATGGCGCAGAGACCCGGTAAACCCATGCTCGCGATGAAAAGAAAATGCATTATTTAGTTTCCCTTAATAGGGACAGACGATGTATACACATCTTAGTTTGGTAGGGGTACATGCAGCAATAAATCTAATTTTCCTCGGCAGAAAAGAAAATGGTGTTTTGTTGTTTACAACTCGATGTGTATGCACATTCTATTTTGGTAGCAGAAAGCCCATGTTTAAATCATCTTGTGTTGTAGATATGTTTATCGTATTAGTATTCATTTGTCTAGGAAAAGCGCGCACTAAGAATTCTGTTTTTTATGTATGAAAAAAACATATGTTTCTATGATACTTTTATTTTGCATGTCCATGCAAAAAAACTTCTCTGATGGAGGCATGGGTATTTGAAAGGCCTATATGCTACCTAGTCACTCTGCGGCTATGGAACTTGTGAGATTTCTCCTTCCTTTTAAGAGAAAGCCCACTTAAGACAAAGAGTATGCACAAATACTAAAATCAGTTTGTGTACAACGGTGGGAAAGTAGGTATTCATATGTCTGTGGATACAACAGGAGCATGATAAATAACATTTTGCTTCTGTCTAACGTATCAGCATAACAAGCCATTTATTTACTCCAGGAATATCTCCTCGTACTCTCTAGCTATTTTTCTAAGGAGAGCTGCTATGCACACGACGCATAGCAGACGATTTGTGCACGATACAGCACATCAGTGCGTCAGTGCATATTATCTAAGTGCAACAGATGGCTAGATTGACATCGTGCAGCTGTCGTGCATGTAGTGCATCGTCTGCATAGCAGTTTCGTTTTCTAAGTGCATGCCCACTGATCCGAGTAAACCGCTTCTTCAATGTTGAAAAGAGAAGTTTGAGGCTATCATGCCCACTATTGAGATTAGACTGGGCATTATTCTGTAGGGAACTTGGGCCACAGAATATCCTGAATTAGTCATCAAGACAAACATCAGTATTAAGCAAGGACTACAAAAGAAGTAGCTAGAGATAATAAACAAAATAAAGGGTTGTTTTACGGAAAACATATTTTTCACTATGAACAAGATTTGTTAAACTGAAATTAAATGTCAAGAAGTTAGAGAGCATGATATAACAAGTTAGAGAGACTGATTTGAAATTGCTATTCAACTGCTGAATAGATATTCAAGGCACATTACACAGAGTTCTGGATTTTACATCTCTGAAAGTAGGCACACCATGAAAGTGATAATCATCTAATTAATAAAAACATTATTCTAAGAAAATATTAGACGTTGCCTCATATATACCAACGGTTGTCACTTTCTATTGGTTAGAAACCGTTGTGAGACCCCTGATGTCATGTAACTTTAAGATCTGGCAAAGCCTAATAAGCATATTTAACAGCCGCCGTGAGACCACTGATGTCATGTAACCTTAAGCTCTGGCAAAGCCTAATAAGCATATTTAATAGCTGTCGTGAGACCCCTGATGTCATGTTAACTTTAAGATTTGGCAAAGCCTAAGATTAGGTACATCAATACCTTGAACTTGGTGATGTCCAGTTAGCAAAGCCTAATATCTGCATTGGACTGGAATCCGCCGATGTTACTGTTTCTTGTAGGCCTCAAATTACTATTGCATTTCGTGTTGTTACTATACACACTAAAACAAAGACTTCGACTATGTTGAAATGGTCAGTGCAATTATCAAACAGACTATTCATAAGAAATTGGGAAATTGGTCATAACAGTACCCCAACATCGTCCAGGTAAATAAACTTCCACCTATGGAGATGCGCCCGTTCTCCAATGTCAATATCGTCCACTGTCTTCTGTTCCATCCACCGGCCCTATCCTCACGCCGGCACCGGTCCACCCGTTGGTCAACCTGCACCTCATATCAACACCCATTCACCACAATCTTGGTTTGAAAACAGAAGATATAAAGTTAATCCATCAAGAAATTTGCATCCACCATAGTTCCTTTCACGAAATAACATGAACCAAAATCACAATAATTAAAGTAATACCTATCTATCCCAATTCAGTTCATTTGGAAAAAAGAAAACGATTCACTGAGATGATTGAATCTCTACATGGAACTAATTAAATAAATGTGATGCCCATGGGCACTTCGAGATTCAGAGAACTTGACATATCTTCCTGGTGCAAGGGGAGCCCAAAAGGAAATTACACTATGGATGACAAAGTTAGTTCGCCAAATGAACGAAGAAAAGACATAAAGCGAATGCAGGTCAGTAAAACTCTGTAAATTAGCCTAGCAGGAGAGAAAGACTCCGAGTAAGTACAACATTAAAAAAGAGAACTGGGAAATTTTCAATATAACTTTAACTGAATTAAATAAGATGAACCAAAGATGGGTACAGATTCATAGAAGCATCTACTATATGCATAGAGAAAATTGGAAAATCTGAAACTAACAGTATGAAATTGCATGCAACCTGTAGTGACAAATTCAGAGTAAAGTTTCTGTACCGCACAATGACCTGTTGATAAGGAAACAGAAAAAAATAGATTAGAACACTTCTTGTAAGAACCATTGGCTTGCATAAACCATCATTGAATTTGCACCAAAACCCAAGCACAGTTTAATCCAAATTCCAAAGCACGTGTTAAACCTGCATATGGTGCTTAGCCGAATGCGTCTCGACTTCGTACGCATCTTCGTCTAGTGAGACGGCTAGGCAGAGATAGTGTGGGAGGCGGCAGGACATGCGGGCTGCAAATCTGGCAGGAGGTCCGAGTCATCGACAACTACCGAGGTTCTGAATTTTCGTGGGCAACACTTCCAACTTGGGTTAGGAACGTCAATTTTAGTACTTCAGTATTCAGTTTTATCACTAAATATGCAGCATGTAGTCGTCAGATTTAGTACTTTAGCGAGTATGATTTTCTGTAATTCTTGGTGACAATTTCATCTCTATGTGGTAACATAATTGACAGTGTGCATCAATTCAACTGATTTAGTTACCTTGTCCATGTTGGTCATGAGGTTTTGCAGCCTCCTTACCCTCTTGTTGATGCTTGTTCTTTCCTAAGCAGCATAAGCAAGGCAAATATTCAGTATAAACATCCGACACCAAGACGAACACCAAAAATGTTGCAGGAAACTAACTAACCCTCTCAGTATAAACATCCGAGGTGTTAGTAGAAGTGTAGCATTAAACAATTGGCGGGCGGGAGACTCCAGATGGATGTGTTTGTCCTACCTGGGAGTCAATGTTGCTGAAGCTGGTGACCATGCCGTCATCGCTGTCGCCGAACAACTTGGCCTTCTTGCGGCCAGGCGTGAAGAACATGATGCTGGAGTTGGTGTCCTTCCAGTAGCTCATGGAGAAGATCCTGGAAAGGTCACTAGAGCCGTTGCCGGCGGTGACGCTCTCGCCGATGTCGGCGGGCGGCATCGGCATGCGCATGGCCATCTTGATCTCTGTGATGTGCGGCATCATGTCCTACTGCCTCCAGAAGTTCCACAACAAGCCCAGTCTCCTCTGCTGTGCCATCGCGTCGATGTTGCCTCCTCCCTGCGGGTGCATCATCACAGTCACAGAGCCAGATCCCAGAGCACATTGATCAAAGCGGACAAGGGCCAAAAAAGAACACGGCACCCAGCCAAATCTAGAAAATCAACATGATCAGTGAAGCAAGGATCATGGCAGCACATAGGATATATAAAGCATACATGATATATAAAACAAATGGAGCAGAGGTAGCTACAAAGGAAATGAAGAAACTTGATCCACGGTAAAAATAAGAAGCAACCTCCAAGATAATACGCCTGCAAAACAAAATAAAATAACTAATTAGGACAAGGAAAAATGGTAACTGCTCTGTTGCTCTGCAATTGGCATATTAGAGCTATTAAAAACCTCAAAATCTAGTACTTTTGTGTCCAATGGTGACGACCAAAAGCTATCTACTATGCATTGAGCACCCTAGATGATGGTTAGAACATTGTGTCCTAATGGATTCAAACAACCTCAAATCCTAGCCATTTAAACAAGACACATAGTTCATGGAATTTACCCAAATAGTACATAGAGGAAGCTGCATAATACAAAAAATAAAATATGAACCGGAAATCAAACCATTGCAAGTCATCAAATCGGTATGATCAGAACCTAGAAAGCAGAGTAAAATTGAAAAGGTAAGGTAAAAGAGAACTCTGACCTAGAACTACAAAAACAAGAAAAAGCCTTTTTACCTGCCTGTGCTGCCATAGATGAATCGGTAATCAAACTGCAGTCAGCTAGCCTTGAAAGCAAAAATAAAATGGATTAACTACGAGAACTAAACAGAATAGAACTCTGTTACATCGAATTGTAGTTAAACAAAATTAAATTATTGTAGGCAATCTGATGTACGGTGTCATCTCAAGAGTACATAGCAACATGTCAAATGGACAGCAAGAGTGATAGAGATCAGGGGAGAAAGGGGGAGGATTGAGAGAAGCTAACCTTGCATGCCGCTCGGAGCTCATCCTTTGAGTAGCATCTTCAGCCGTCGGCAACTCCCCTTCCGTACAGAGCAATCCCATCGACTGGAGCGCTGCAGCTTCGACCTGGATGCCCCTCGCCCCTGTTGCAGGCCTCTCCCCCACCCCGTGAGGCATGCGCCGCCTGGATCTCCGGCCTCGCTGCTCCTCCATGGCGGGAGGAGCTCGTGATAGTCGATCCACCAATGGGGCGCCCGGATCTCCTCTTCCTCATCCAGATCCTGGTTTGCTGCTTCGATCCATGGAGGGGTGTGCCTCTGGAGAGACCATAGCGGCGGGGGAAGAGAGGGAGGAGAGGAGGAGGAGGCTGCGTTGATTTGGGGGCGGTGGAAAAGGGTAGGGTTTGTGCGGCCCGGTCACCAATGGGTGTGGCTGCCGCACGATCTCCCGCAAAACGCGCGACGTGCACGCGGCGCTCAAGGATAGGGCGCACACGCACCACGAAACGGTTGACCCAGCCAACCAGCACATCCCAAGAGCCCACACGTCATTGGACACTATGAGGTTACCACGCGGTAAAAATGAGCAACGTGACCATCCAATGTCCCAGATCAAGTGGAAGACGATCTTGACCACCATCCAACGGCAGACGAGGCAGAAAATCGAGGGAGCCTCCTGCGAGCGAGTCTCCCAGCAACCTTATATGTTTAAATGAACTACTCCGATTTCAAAATTGAACTTCTTGGTTTTTCATATTTAGCATATTGGAAAATCTATTTTTTAATTTTAAATTCTTGGTTTTAATCTTTAGTATTGCGGGCCCAAAATGACATTGTTTTTTGTTTTCATTTTTTGAGATTCTAAATCCTAGGTTTTAATATACTTTTGAACTTCTGTTTTTTATTTTTTATTTTTAAATAAACATGTTTTTGACTATTTTTTTAAGTTTTGATCTTCATGGTTGTTTTTTTAATAACAGCAGATATCTGTTTTTTTAATGAACGTAAAATCCTAGACTTTTATAATAAACATCAAACCACTTTGTTATTTTATTTTTTGTCTACTTTTAAAAAAGTGAGAACATTTTTTTTATATATTTTTAGCTTTTCCTTTTTACTTTAATTTGAACTTCATTTTATTCTTTAGTAACGAGAAAACATTTGACTTTTTTTAACTTTTGTACTTCTCTCTTATTTTACTTTGAACTTCTTAGAAAAAATATGGTTTTAAATAAGTAAACAACTTTCTAGGTTTTTAAATTTGAAATTCTAGGTTCTTTGACCTTCTCGGTTATTTCAAATTGAACTTCTAGGATTTTTAGCACTACACTAGTGTAAAAAATGCTCTTATAGTATGGGTCCGAGAAATTATTTTTTTATAAATATTGAACTACTTGTTATTTTTATTTGAACTTCTAGAGTTTTTCTAGAGATGGGAAAATCTGTTATTTACAACTTTTCTTAAAAAATGACTTTCTTGGTTTTATTTTTAACAGCTTTAGAGTTTTCGGGTACATATTTTTTCAGAAATGCACCTTTTTGCTCTATGCGAACTTCAGCCTTTTTTATACATGAACTTCATTCTGAATTGACATTTTATTTCTGCACATAAATTTTATACACGAACTTTTTATCGTACTACATATTCTGACCTTTTTCATTTCTTATATTTGAACTTCTTTCTCCTTCTTTTATATTACTTGGTTTTTCTACATGAACACCGTCTGTACAAAGCACCTCCTATCGATTAACGAACATATGTGCCTTTCTTAATGAGCAAACAAAGAATTACTCTCAATAAACATCTTCAAGTAACGGGATATGTTCCGTGTGACCGGGAAAGCACCTCTTATAAAAAAACATGTATGTAGCAGTGCAAAGAGTAGGAAAATCGCACACGAATACTTACCCAGAATAGTTTCCTCTCACGCATTAATGCAAACACACTCGGGGAACAAAATGCTAGCGATATCTCTACTATCTAAAAGAAACGTAGTGTTCCGTTTCCCCCCTTATGTTCCGCGCTTCGTCCAGCCTCTCGTACGATCCCCTCACCCCCCGATTTTCTTTCCCCCGTCCCAGTCCCACCTCTCGTAGGACCCATTCGATTTTCTTTCCCCCATCCCGGTTTTCTCCCTCTGGCCTGCTCCTCACGCCGGCGTTCCGCGCCGCCGCTGCCGACTGCTCCTCACGTCGGCATCCCGCGCCGCCGTTGCCGACCTCCAGCCGTCGTCCAGTAACCGCTCCCGCGCGCCCTATCTCTCTTCTTCTCCCTTCTCCCTTCCTTTTCTCTCTCTCTCTCTCTCTCTCAAATCTTGTATCTCTCTGTTTCAGAAACAACGGCAGCGTGGATCCTGATGTGGAGCTCCACTACGGCCCGATCTGACCTAGGAGCGACCAGATCCGTGCGTCTCCGCCTCGCTTCACGCGCCTCCATGGTCCGCCGTCTTCCCGAGCGCCGGCGCCGCGCTCAGCCGCCGCCGTCCCATGCCATGGTAGCCTCCCCTCCAGAACGATGTGTCATGGCCGCCTCCCTGCCTCTCCCGCAGGTGGGCCTCTGCGCCCCCGGCCTAGCAGATTAATGGAGGGCGCTGCCGATGTCGGTTCATGCCTCGGTGCTCCTCACCGGCGGAATTTGCCAGCTATTCTATTCCTATCATGATCTTTTCTGTTTTGATGTAGAGTTAACTCCCACCCGTACATGAGCCCCAAGGCACCACGCGATTCTGATGATACACGAACACTGGGTCGGTCCTCTATCCGGCAGCTCCGTTGGGGAAGCACCAAGGTAAAAAACTGATATTTGATAGTAGAGATTATAGTATGTACCTTTCTGAAACTGATATTTGATATATTTCTGTATCAGATCCAAACTCCAAGTATCCGTGGATATAGGGAACAGTTATGGTACAAATAGACTTGATTGTACTGACAATTTTCAGCTTGCACATGGATCCCTTATAGTATGCAATCAAGCTTGATGATAAATTCTTGGAGAGACGCTAGGTGCCAGGTAAGGTGACCCAAGACTATTGCTTTCAGTTATTCAATGGTGTTCATATGGCATATTGCTATTAGATATGCCATTGCCTGCAGCGGCAAGCTTGAATTGGTAAGATGGATGGGGGGGGGGAGAAAAAGAGTCATTTAACGTAATTTTGATTACCGATGCCTGCATGAGCAGCTGCTCACTGTGCGCATGGGATAGGAGGTCATGCGTGGAGGCTACTCGGAGAGGACTGTATGCATGTCCGTGTCCGCGCACTTGGAGCAGCAGCCAATGGATGGTCGGCCAGAGGAGGACCAGGGTCAGTTCAAATTTTCTCCATTTGCCTTGCTATTTTCTACCAATGTATTGGCTTGACCTGAGATTGATTAGTCCCTAGCATGTAGTGTTCACCTTCTTCTTAGTTTACATACAGTTGGAGACTGGTTTCTTTTCCTCTTTTTCTGCAGTATGATTTCATGTCTCTTATTTTGGCCTCAGATATATGTACAATAAAGCAACTGTGTGTTACTAAAGAACTTTATGCAGTCGTTGATTCAGTTAGATTCTTTCCTTAGAAAAATACATATATATATATTGTAAAAAGAATTTATTATCAGAAGAATCTCTTGAGATTGTGATGCATATTAGACATTAATTTCTAAAACTTAGGCTTTCCTAGGACAAAGCTAGGGGAATTAGGCGGGAGTCACCCGTCATTGACCAGTTAGGAGGATTCTAAACTTCCGTGCTCCAAACAAATTTGGAGGAATGGAGGATACTCAAGCTTCCTGTTTTTCATGATTATCAAAATCCTAGCAAACGATAGTCTAGGAAAGCAGCCAGATTGGTCTTATTACGTGTGGTTTAAAGTTTGCCTGATTGTATGTTATCTGAACAAGATGATTCTCTTTTCTCAATAAAAAGAAAAAACAAGACACTTCTCTAAAAAATAGTCTTACACCTTGGAGTTTCCATCTGTTGTGGTGTACCTCTGTTCTATAAATGCCATGTTTGCATGTTTATTTC